GATCTTAGAGACTTGCCATTTTCAAATGTGGATATTTCACCACAGACACCTCCGCCACGTTCTGCCAAAGTTCCCTCAGATTCCAAGAGTGACTGTAGTGAGATAGACTCAGTCCACGAATGTGAAACTTCCACCAGAGACTAAACACTCAAATGACATTACAATAAGATTCCAGAAGGAGCAAAATGAATTTCAATTCTTGGGGCACTTATGTAAATGAAAGACTTGTGTAGCCTCTTGAGGACTGTGAGACCAAAAAGGCTGTAAGGCAAACCCAGGTGTTCCAGTCCTGTGATGCTGAACCTACTCTTTAGTGTGAAAGAGGAGGGGAGAATATTTTGAAGGTGGTTCTAAGAGTCAGGTACCAGCATTACAAGAATTTCCAAAGAAACCCAGTTCACAAAGAACTCAAGAGCACTTCAGTAAAAGAAATCAAGTAAATGATCAGAGAACAATAAGCTGCAATTAGAAAAGGGCAATTCTGATATTTATAGTTCAATATAGACCCGCACCTGATGGGAATTCGCTGTAGGTGAAGACCAGCTCTGCCTCCACAAAGACAACACTCAACTCGCAATCAAGGGGAAGTCAAATAACTTTGCAGTACATGCTGAAGCACTTTGATGGAACCACTAAGCAGATTTTTAACAAATTCTGCCCAAAGACTAGCATAAATTTTTTTTTGGAGTTGATCATGCAAAATTCAGAGACTCAAAGCAATTAAAAATTTTTAATGTTATGCTGAAAAGACCATTTTCTATCATAAAATGTAAATTAAAAATCAACTCTCTAAAGGAGAGCTGACATTTTCTGTAGAAGTAAAAGCTACTCTACTATGATCCTTGGTGTGAATTTCCAAGGTAGGCAGTCAGGAGCGGTGTCCTTATCTTTATCAACTTCAGGAATTTTTTTCTTTTTCCTGTCTGACACTCCTCTGTGTGCTCTCTTCAAGTACATTTCTCAAGGGTCTGTTACCAGCTTTTACTTATGTCACCCTCACCACTCTCCTTGGACCCAACTGCTTCATCACCAGCTCCATATACATCATGCCAAGAGTTGCATGAAAAGGCCCAACCTCCCTCCCAAACTGCAGACTCACAGTCTCAACCCTATTTGCCCAAGTCCATTTAGATCCTTCCCTTATTTCATTATGTCTGCTGTAAGTTTCACGTTTAGTTGCTTGGCATGACTGAAACTTGAGGCCCTCTACCTCCAAGGCATTTCACCTTGGGGTCTGCCTCCACACTGCTTCCAACTTTAAGCTACTAAGCTCCATAGATTCCTTTACCCCAATTACCTTCTCTGTTTTAGCTTCATTTATTTCAATTATGTTGCTAGTTCTACTAGTACACAAATGACCATTAAAATGCATCTTACTTCTCATTAAGATAAAGCTTTCTGTATCTTGTTAACAAAGTATAACTAATTACCAGCCTAACACCTCTATCCTGGCATATCTTCATCTAAGCAGCATCTGAAAAAAATCCCAGTATAATTTATATTTACATGTTTCTAAAACTATTAAAAATTGGCCCCAAGCCATAGATCAATGGCTACAAAACCAAAACATGAAACACTAAAACTTTATAATTTGACCTATACTGCGCACCTTAAGCTTATATGGCACTGTAATCCAGCTAAAATTCACTAAAACTGAAAAAAAAATCTTCTGCTTCTTGAAGAGGAATGAGTGCCATAAACGATTTTTTTTTAATGTTATCTCCTACAAACACTTCAGGTTCAATAAATTCATTGTAGATCAAGTTAACAAAACTTTTGCCCTAATCCTCTAGAGTGGGATAAAATCAAGGGAGTATACAGGAATCTAGAAACTGCTAGAATCAACAAACAGGGGATACATGTGAGCAAATAGATGTTTGTGTACTGCCAGTCTATTTAAAAGGCAAAATTTACTCAAGGCTACAGTTTTCTATGACTTGCCCTCAGACCCTCAGGAGGTAAAGATGGTATGGGGAGGAGTCCTCATAGAGAGTGAATGAAAAGTTTTGATCCTCAGGGCTTTGCACTAGATTAATAGTCATCAGAGGCCTCTGTCAGGCCACAGACTTAAAAGAGGTGTTCCCACAAGCCTGTCCACTAATGAGGGAGGAAAGTACGATCTTCCTGTTGCCTGAAAAATCTCATATTCATGAACATTTAAGGACATGACCTCTGGCTACCTGGACCTAGATTTTGCACAAGCTTTAGCCAGTTTGCATCCTTCAAATTTCCACTTTACCTTTTTACTACTCCCTGAAAATACTAGGTGAGGTGGGCAATGAATGTGTTGCTGAATTTTAAGGCACTGCAGATCCCTCTGCAAAGCAAGGTCTCACATAAATTTACAATTTAGCCTATGATGAATGTGCTGCAGTGACCAGAATAGACAAGGATTTTCCAAACCTGGGCACAGAATCTTTCAGTTTCTTACTGATATGTATCTCATCTGCCCTCGTGTTTATATATCAACAATCCTGCAGCTATACATACAACTAAACATGAAGAACATCTTTTCTCATTTGAATAAATACATTTATAATTGGAGAATCAATCATTTAGGGTTTTTCTGCTGTGATGTGAAATTTGCAGTACTGAAAAACCTCACATTATGCAAAATCACACATTAAAAGCCTTGTGGACTAAAGTTGGCGAGCCCACTCAAAAGATAGGTGACTTTGTGATGAGTGCTCCAAGAAAAACAATCACTGTAACCTTGGATATCACCTTGGATGACCCAGCCAGGCAGCCAGGCATGGCTAGAGGTTGTGACAGTAGATATTAATCATCTAACAGGAATGCTACAGATTAGGGTCCTCCCTGCTGGCAAACAGTTTGAAGCACAGCACTATGAAGCTGGCCGCAGCCACTTCAGCACTAGTTTGATCCCAAGCCAGGGAGGTGACCCACATGGCCCAGCAGACCTCTCCTGACCTACCCACTGCTCCCTCAGCAGTGTAATTTATCGATCTGCCTGTTTTGCTCCCCACTCTGTCTCTGGTGAATCCCCTCACACCCTGCACCTCTGGCCTATATCCAGTTGTGTATGAATAAATAAATAAATAAATAACTTAAGAAATAAGAGATACTACAGATTAGAGCAGTTTCGGGGTGCTGGAAAGTGCAGTCTTCCTGGGTACAGTATCAAGAATGCCACAAAAACTGGAATGGACCTCTCTGAGTCTCCCCAGAGAGTCTGGAACAGGTGAAAACACATCTAAATAAATCCAGCTTCCAGTACAATAAGGATTTCTTTTCTTTCCTGCTGAAGGTTATCATTCTCCTCCTGCACTTTTGGTTCACCTGGTCTTGAAAAAAAAAAAAAATTCATGTGATTGAGCTTGACTTCTAATTGCCATGATCTAATTCATATCACTGAAACATACTTTGTGAAATCATCCATTTCTCCCCTCTTTGACCACGCAAAGTACATTAAGAGCTGGAGGTGATTCTTCTACCTCCTGGCCTCTGAACTAACTTGTGACGTGTTAACCACTAGAGGACAGAGGAAGCCACATTGCAGGCGTCTGGGATTGTTCTAAGCTTTGCAGCTTCTCTTTTACATGCTCACTCTGGACCAAGCCTGCCACCATGTAAGAAGTCCGACTGCCTACGACCGCAGTCTGGTAAGGAAGCCCATGCTCACCATGTGAAGACGTAGCATGGAGAGGGACAAGTCCAGCCAGCTCTCGTAGCTCCGCACTGGACGGCAGACAATGCCTTGGGCCCCAGGGACCACCTGACACTAGTCCAATAAAGATCTGAAGTAAGAACAACTCAGGGGAGCTCCTAAACCATCAGATCTGAAATGTAACAGTAAATCTTCTAAACTTGCAAGTTTTAGGATGGTTTGTTCACACATCATTCATTATAACATAGCATCATATACTGTCCTAAGCTGTAAAAATTAGACATGGGGATGCTGAACAGACCATCTCCAGTGTTGTGTTGGATAACCAGAGCTGGGCTACCAAGTGGTGGAATTAGGAAAGATTCTTTTCACATTATATGAGGGCACATTAATACACTTTAAGTTTAGCTTTAGATGTACTAGATAACGTACCTACTAAAATACTTAGTTTCTATCCTAGAATTAAATCCTGCCTTTTCTAAATTTGTCAAGACAGAGAATTATTTAAAACTTCAAGTCAAGTGACATAGCTACTTGTTTGTTTCATCCTTCTGCACAAACAGGGAAAAGAAATTAAGTTCAAAGTAAAAGAAGTTAATATTAACATAGAGAAACTATTGAATGAATAATAAACTGTAGCTTTGCTGTGATCTGCCGGCATAGTTGAAAATATCTCATTACTGATTGCTACTCAAATTCTTTTGTTTTGATATACTGGGCTTGATATATAAACAAAATTTCTTGTTCTGTTTAGGTTTTGAGATTGTTAGGGAACTGGTTATTTTTACCACCACTATCACTTCAAATACCAGAAATTAAAATGTACCTTCTAAAGTGTTGGTAGAACCAGAAACAGCTTTTAGCAAGGAAAAGAAAAAACACAATTTGCTTTGTCTCTTTGCTTTTACAGCAATTAACAAATGACACTTGTCATCTTCTCTTGCCCTTTGTGACTTTGAAAACTTCTCTAAAAACCACCTTCATGAGTATTGACATGCAAACAGACAAAAGAGCTTCATATTTCACATGAAAGTAAGGAGATACTTTTATCTAAAGCAATCTGGTAACAAGTGAGCTCTGATGACTTTACCCTGGATGATGGGGAAACACAGCCCCCCAAAGCCAGCCACCAGGCACACGCTTGTCTTTCTTCCCTGACTCTGTCTCAATACTATTGTTTAGCAGATGTGCACTTGGCTGAAGCATGTTCTCTTTCAACAAGTACAATTCCAGCCTGTGAGCTAAGTTTTGAAGTGTGTTCTGCAGGCCAGATTATAAATGATGCCTAATTAACTAAATGCACACTTAGGTGAAGCAGTGTTTGCTTCTAGTTCCTCTTAAAAAAAAAAAACCCACACACTTCTGGGACCTTCCTGGTGGTGCAGTGGGTCAAAGCATAGCCCTGTAAGCTAGCACAGCCGCTTCAGTGCAAGTTCGATCCTCCGCCCCAGAGGTGACCCACATGGTGCCACAGACCTCTTCTGGCCTTCCTGCTGCTCCCCTCAGCAGTGTACTTCATTGACCTGCCTTTTCTGGTCCCCACTCTGTCTCTGGTGAATCCTCTCACTGCCCTGCACCTCTGGCCTGTACCCCCGCTCTGCATAAACAAACAAATAAAGTCAACACAAATACACCAGCTGCATTAAAAAATAAAACACACATTCCTTTCTTTTTTTTTTTTTTAAGATTTATTTATTTGTGCATACAGAACAGGGGTACAGGCTAGAGGCTCAGGGGCGGTGAGAGGCTTCACCAGAGACAGAGTGGGGAGCAGAACAGGCAGATCGACGAAGCACACTGCTGAGGGGAGCAGCGGGCGGGTCAGGAGAGGTCTGCCACGCCATGTGGTCACCTCCGGGGCAGGCGGGAATCGAACTCATGCAGAAGTGGCGTTAGCTTCTCAGTGCTGTGCTTTAACCCGCTGCGCCACCAGGGAGGGCCACATTCCTTTCTTAAAGAGATTTTTGTTCTTATTTCTCTCCAAAAGAGGCTTGCATTATTCTGTTATCTTCCATTCATCTTCCTTGCCATGTGACTTCACTGCATAAGTGAAGTGTCTGTGTCTGAGCCCAGGGCCCAGCTCC